AAAAAAAAACGAACTTTTATGGGGGTTGTTTTCCCATTTTGGAGACTCAACCTAAGAGTACAGTCTCTCATCACTATATAAAGCCCATCAGCCTAATAGGCAAATTAAAATAGTAGAATAGAAGGACAGGACTTTAAATGTCATGTGTAAGAAGACATTTTACGATGCAGTCTCTTTCTGTGTTTCATCCCTTAGCTGTAAACACAGACCGGACTATACACGGATGAACTATGCAAAGTTGAGAGATACCAAATGCCAATTACCTTAAGCTTTGCAGCAGTGAATGGCTCCATCACTGCGCGGATATCGCGTTCCAAAGCACGCACAAATTGGCCAACTTTGCCACGATGAATTACAATCGAATGGGGTTCCTTCAGCAATTTCCGTTCTCTTTCATCCGCCAATTTCTCCTTGACCATTTTCTCTTCGTGTTTGGTCAGTTCCATGCTACTGCCATGCTAAAATGAAACGAAGGCGTTTTTGTCGGCTTAGCAGCAAGTAAAAAAAGCATCTCAGTATCAACAGTTCCAATATTTCAAAACGAAACAAAATCAAAATTATTCTCACCACTGATGTAACTGGCAACTTCTTCATTCTTCTCTATTTTTTGGACTTTTTTTTTTATCCAAACCATATCATTTAGGCGTTCAGATTGGATCTTTCCATTATAAAATTGCATTTTCCGAACTGCTTATCCATCTATATTCTAAAAAGTGACCAGCCAAGCATCTAGTTGGTTTTAAACTTACAGGGCCTTCAGCAGCATGTCGTCTCAATGAACTGTGTTTTCGTTTCCTGTAATGCCGAACACTACCCGCTCGTTTCTTGTACATTTTGCTGAGCTAAAAAAAATAACTAAATTCCCTTCAAAATATAAATTAACGACGAATGTTATACGCTAGTAAAATACATCACATTTCCAACGAAATGCAAGCGATTCCCATCCGACAAGGGCCATGTTTACAATTGAGTTGCACTTGCGCCATGACTTAGGGCACTTTAAAGATATTTGTAACGAACTGAAAATTTTGCGTACCGGACAAGCTGCAAAGCCGATACTCTGCATGGACATTCCATATTCAAGTGTGGTTTGTATTCAGCTTGGAGGTTAAATTCCCTGCACGCGAATATATTATGCTCCGGATGAAGAACAGTACTGATCATTGCAGTAAGAATGTCATTTTTTTTGCTCAGTAAGTTATAAAAAACGAGTTTTTGTGCCTTCTTTACATGAATGTAAATGCAAAAAAGCATATTGGCAAGAGTCTGTGTGTATGTCTGTGTGTCCACACTTTTTGTCACCAACTTTGGATTCGAGAACCAAAAAAGCTAGAAGGCTAAAGCTTCGGAAGTATGTGCCTACATCATGTGCAATCCTCCCGTTTTAACATCATCACCCGCGTACGGTTTTTTTAATATCATCACTCGTTTTTCCTGCCGGATTCCTCTGGGTGCATTCAAATTGCCTCAGTGGCATCCTGCGTCTATCCGGAAAAAAAAACCTTTGCTTTTTATTATTAACTGTTCTGCAGCGTACTGCACTATTCTCATACCAACCCATATCTTTATTCAACGGATCTGTGGGTAAACGAGTACTTAAAAAAAAAGAACTCGT